TGCTGTACTTAAAAAATACCAATAAACAGGAATCATTCAATGGCACTTTTCCTCGAAGATCTCTTTCAAGAGGTGATAAAAAGGCTTTCTTGAATAATCTTTGCAACAGCAACAAAGTGTTTTGTCAGTGGTAATGTCACAGTGGTAACAAAGACATCCTATGTTATATTCTTGGTAATCACACAAAACCGTTTACTGATGCAGAAATTGTGAAGGAGTGTTTCTTAAATGTGTGTGCTTCTAATTTAGTGTTATAATGACACAAATAAAAAAATATTAAAAAAAGCAAAACTGGAGTTATAATATTTTGATCAATTTTCACATTTTAAATTTACAATGTTGTCTTGGTCATAAAGCTCCCCCCCCCTTTATCTTCATGTTGCGGCCCGCGGGAAATAGCTGACATATGTATGCGGCCCAGCAGAAAAAAAGGTTGAGTACCCCTGATATAGACCAAGTTTTTAATCAAAAGCTCCTCCTCTCCCGGTCAAGGGTGTCCCACTTTACTTTTGACCTTTATCTATCACACCTTTACTCTACATGTGAGGGGGGAGGGGAGGCAGAATTGATATCCATAACATGACTGAGTTTTACAGTCCATGAGATTTTATCTCGATCTTGATTATTATACTTTCGCTTCAACGTTGCGGCCAGGGTGCTGGGAGTATACGGCCGATAACGTTCAGCCGCGAGTCACAGATTCTAGTTCCAATTCCACCAAAGATCCGTCATGAAGTGAGTTTGAACTCGTTAGATCCTGAGTCCAACACAAAGACCTTATAATTATGAATTAGAATAAATTCTATTTTATTGTTTTGTATTATTTGGTTCAACTTTGGAAGAAAATGATACTTCAATAATATATATATGTATAGTAAATTTTTTTTCTATTATAGTTCCTTAGAATTTTGAAAACAACCATAAAAAGTTTAAAAATATGTCTGTTGCAATATTGTAGCATAATTGTGATTTCAAAAAAATACTTTTTTTCCCTGGAACAAATTAAAGTTATGTTTTTAAATCCTTGAAAAAATAAAAGCATCAGCAATTTAGAAATACATTGCTCAAATTTGGAAGATATTTAACATGGCTCCCCCACATGTGACTGAATAAAACGATAATTAGCAACTTACAAATAAAATTTATGTATTTCAAGGAATGATTTTTATTAAATCCTTCAGAGGGCACCCCGAAGAAATGTTTGATGAAACTTGGAAAGAACCATATTTTTTTTATATTTGGAAGAATTTATTGCATGCAATAACATCGTAGAGGAAGGTAAAATCAAATTCTCCAAGCATAAAAATAAATACTTCTCCGCTCATCGAGGCCTCAGGCAATGGGCTTGCAATATTTCTTTTCCGCCCTAATTCAATAACGTCACACGTCGTTTCATTTCCAATTTTAACTGGAAATGTGCTTTTGATGTAACTTGTCAAGATGAGATTCTTTCTCATCAATATAATTTCGATCTCATTTCCTACCTCATTTTGTTTTCACTCGGTTATTTATTTGCTTATTCAGTATTATTTCATACTGACTTCTCTCAGTCTTGTTTATCTGTTCGTAAAATTGCTTTGCTATCTAATCATATATGTTTTTTTCAGAAAATTCGTACCATAATTACATATTCATAAAAGGTAAATTCTTTTTCAATTCCTGCTGTTAGTTCACACTCTCCCTATATATATCTATTTATATATAGATATACCATGTTCAAATTTTCGCTACTAAAATACTTTTATTCATCCACCCATGTTCAAATACATTTTTTTAAATTTGTAGTGGATGACACTTGATTTTAATACAGTTTTTCAAATATTAATTCATTAATTAAATTTAATTAATGAATAAATAGTAACAAAAATAATAGTCCCACACCATATATGTTGTTGTTGTTACTTATGCCACCTGTCTGACGTAGTCAGATCGAGGCCCACGAAATTCATCATGGCAACGGGCTAGAGATACGCCTGTCGTTAGCCGAAGCTTTGAGCCCATGAAGGTGACAGTACGATTTTGCTCATGATAGATGGCGACACCATTCGGACCCATTGATTTAACGAGCATGTACTCCGTGTGCACTCGGCGGATATTAGGTGGAACCCAGGCCTTCCGGTCTGGCGTCCGATGCTCTAACCACTAGGCTACCTACGGCCCACACTATATATAAAAAGAAAAATCGCTCGTTGTGTCCCTGTAGCGCAATGGGTAGCGCGTTGGACTTCTAATCCAAAGGTCGTGGTTTTGAATCCTACCAGGAATGGCCTAATTTCTGAGAATGTGACTTCTTTTATACTATATTTTATTGGAATAATTAAATTATAAATTTATGAAGAAATAGTAACAAACAAAAATATAATAATCCAACACCCTATATAGAAAGGAAAATGGAAAATTGCAAGGAAAATCCCTTTCTATTTTACCACTTAATATTGTGATTCTGTCATATGTTTATACATATTTATATTAATTGTAACTATTTAATAAAAAAGGAACTAAAGTAAAATTTTTCTTTGTTGACCTAAGTAAGAATTGAATTAAAAGTTTATTTTATATTACTTTTCATTTCTACTTTCAAGAAGCTTCTACATTTATTTTCTTATTTATTTATTCATGTTTATTAAATTTACAGCGAACTCTTTTCCCCCAATGAAAAGCGACTGTTGTAGCCAAGTGGGGGAGCGGTTACGAGTACCTGGCTTATTTTGTTTGGGAAACAGTCGTGGGCTCGAGCCCAGATACCACAAAATGTTTGTCGTGTACAGAGGTGTGATTAACGTTTAAAATTCTTCAAGTGTGTATGGTGTAGAAGTTGGAAGAAAATCAAGTGATTGACGTTCCATTGCATTCCAGATTATGCGGTCCGTTGCTGAGAGCCCTGGGTGTGTGAGTGAATATTAACATCGCTCGATTAAACTACTCGAGGGCTTTACCTAGAGCCCTGGTGCTACCTGGTATAAATGAATAAGTAGCCCTTATCCGTCTACTCCACTGAGTATTTCATAATGTTGTTTGACTCTATTTTCTATTAATATAGGTTATATATATTTAAATCCTATGATTATAATTCGATTATATTGAAAAAATTTTTAAAGCCCTCACCTCTTGTTTAAAAAGGACAGGGTTTGATATACTAGAATGGAAAAGTATTTCTTTTACCACCTTCGTAACCCCCATCTCAGTGTCGATTTCTGAAAAACACATTTTTTTAGCGGATTTGTACTCTCCAAAATAAGCATGTTCGCCAAATTTCAAGTCTGTAGGTCTAATAAACCAAAAAAACGAGATTTTTTTATCTATAAAAACCCCTCATATGTATTTCCCCTTGTTTTTGAAAAAATATTATTTTTATAAAATTTTAGCAAAATTTTAAATGTTAAGAGAAGAAACATAAGTAAAAATACGTTGAACATAATTTAATTTTAATTTCATTCATATACTTCTTGATCCACCTGAAGTGTCACAATCTGCAGAATCAAAATTGTCTTAAGAAATAAATATTCTTTACGCATTCAAATTTGACGTTAATGATTTTTCGTCAGAATTACTTTAAATTCTTAGCTAAAATGGATGTATATAAAATATGACTAAAAGTAACTAACCAAAAACCTGAGGTTTAATACTAAAAGGGGCTTATTTCGGAAGTGTTAAAAATTGTATTGAATTTCATTGGATTGTTTTGGAGATCTCCCATTTTTTTCGTGCACAAACTATCATAACAATGTCATTTTACAAAAAATACATTTAGAAATATTTTTATTACTTAAAGTAAATATATTAGAAAACAACTTATGATTCTCCAGTTTCGCATATTTCTTTTCTTCTCCAATACTTATATTTCTTTTTCTTTTCCAATGATCCTAAAAAAACACCCTTTCAACGAAATCAAATACCTTAAGCAAAAAAAAAAAAAAAAACTGTTGCAACTGACGTATAATTAAGACATTGTCTTAGATTTTTTTTCTCAGTTTATTTTTTATCAAGATTTAATGATATTTGCTTAAAAATATAATTAATTAATTATTAATACTATGTGATATGTTTAACAAACATGCGTTTTAAGATGGAATTATTTTTAGTCAAGCTTAATTTTTCACTTCTATTAATGTTAAAAAAAGAAATGACTTAAATAAATAAAAACGAATCTGAATTTTTAAGGATGCTCTAATATTCTGATCTATATTTATAAAGTTAAATTTTTAATGCAGATGAGATAGTACAAAATTCCTTTTAAAAATTCCAGTTTCCGTTGAGAGTAATAATATTTCCATCTATTTAAATTATTTAAAGTATTTTATAGGTCCTGTAGAATACTTTCCATGCATTCAAATAATTTATTTGATATAAGAAACGAATTAAATATTAAAGAAAAGAGGTTCTATCCATACTATTTTTTAAAACTAAACTAAAAGAAATAGGCTTTTAGTACCAAAAAAGAAAAAGATTTATGTACACATCAAAAAATATTCTTTTTCTATGTCTTCTGTCAAAAAAAAGTTAGATAAAAAAAAGATATTCCGATCGCAAAACATTAAAAATAAAAATGTTTGACAAATATAGTTTTATAAGAACGTAAATATTTAAAGTGTGTTTCTAAGATATATTTTTACCTTGGAAAAATTGAAAGAATGATATCTCTCCCTTTAAAAGTAATGCTTGCTTTTATTGAATATCTAGCACATAATACAAGCATTTTAAGGGAGATATGAAAAGTTTCGGGATGTAAAATATTGAAAATTCTGATTTGTGTAACGATAAAAATATTTCATTTTTATCGAAGCAAATTTAATATTATTTGCCGTTTCAGATATAAATATTTCATCAAAATATTTAAATAGGCTTCATGTATTTTCTATTCGATTTTTCAGAATAAAGCATCATAATATTAATGACATTATATTCAAAGATCAATAATGAGTACCTTTAATTCAAGAAAAATGATTTTTCATTAAAATTAATAAAAATGTCACAAAAATATATATATGCACATCTTATTATAAATCTTACTTAAATGACAAGCTGTTGTGTGTGTGTGGTTGCTATGGTTACAGAATCGTAAGTACATTAATTTGGAAGAAACTAAAGGCCTTATCACACACGCATTTTTCGAGCAACCGTTTCGCCCAATTTTTTGAAGCAGCTGAGGGTGAAGGGTTGCCGTAAACAAAATGACATGTTCTGACGTCAGCCGTGCTTTATCTGCACTTTAAAAAATTACTGGCCACTAGCTCCTCTGTGCACTCACTAAGTTTTTAAAAATATTTTTCCGAAATGGGGTTTTTTAGAATTCCAGAGATATGGAAATTTTTCAACTTCATCAACCAAAGTGCTCTCCGTCATTTCGTTCCATTTTAATACGTACAATTCTGATACTGCGCTTGACGAAGACGAGGCTGCCATCTCGCTTTCGCATAGGTGACGAATAACCCTATTGGCTAAAATTTGGAACAATTTTAATTCCGAACAATTTTTTCAGCCCACTAGCAAAAAGTTATTCGAAGCCGTTGGTATAGCAACTGAGTAAAAATTACTCGACATGGTGGTTGAAAGAAAAATTGCTCCAAATACATGTAAGTATGATAAGGCCTTAAAGTTTACTGTTCTTTAAAAATCAAGCAAGTGGATATCTAATATATTAAAAGTGTACAACTACACATAAAAACGCCTTGGTTATATCTTGCAGTGTTATAGTTTAAAAATAAGTGGTAACTTTTTCAAGTTAAAATCAAACATGCGGGACGCTTTTGAATTTCGCTTTTTTAAAATCTGGGTCTTGTCACAATTAGATTAAAATATTTGTGTTATGAAAAATTATTTGCAGATCAATAAAATGTTTCCCGAATACTGTTTCCAGTGCATTAAAACATCAGAACAAGATATTTTAAATTGTTCAGAAAGTAATTTGGTTTTTTTTCGGAAGGAGGGGGTGAAGATAAAACTGTTTTTACCATGCTTTTATAAGTTTCACTTGCATGTAACGTAATCTTGGAACTCGATTTTTACCCACTTTAGAGGTCAGATTAATTCGAAATTTTGCACACTTGTCAAGGACCGATAACAATACAATAATTTCAAAATTTTGTTCCATTGTCCTTTTCAGGATCGTCAGGAATAAGGATAATCAGATTTGGGGACATTTCCATATATCCAGATTTGGCGACTTATTGCATGTACCATTTCCAGATTTGGCAACTAATTTCATACATCATTTCCAGATTTGGCAACTAAAATAATAAGGTGTAACCCTAAGGCGAGTGTTTTGAATTTAAAGCTAATTATATGCTAGTATAAAATACGGTTGCGTGGCAGGAGCGGACACATAACATTTCGTGGCTTTAGCGGACACTTTAAAATTTATCGTGGTTTGTGAGTGGACACATCCCCCCCCCCCATCTTGGAACAGATTCGATTATTGAATTACAAGGATAAATACATTTTTGCCAATCGAATTTAATTTGAATTAAATTTTTAAGATATTAAGTGCGAATACACTTTAAAAACATAGCGCAATGTAATAAAAATAAAAACTTTCAGAGAAATATTTAAAAATTATAGAAAACTGTATTTTAGAGTCAAATAAATATTAGAACAACCTCCAGAGCGTACTGACTATCAGTTAAAGTTTATAAGTAAACTTGACTTGAAATTTTATTGGGTTTGAATTAAATAAATTCTTTGATGTAGTTTTCACGATCTAAGCATTTCTTTAAATCTTTCATTTAAATCATTTTTTGAGTTCCATCGCTTTTGATTTAATATTAATTTGAAATTCAACGAATTGGGAAGAGGAAGGGTAGCTTGATAAAATCACATTTTTTTCCCTTACCTTAAAATTCTCAAGTAGAATTAATTTTTTATAATGTATCTCTAAAAATATCTATGATATATCTATATTTAAATTCAAAGTATATATTAAAACAATGAGGATAATTTACAATTTCATTTTTCTCTTATTTGAATTAATACTTCTAAGTTTTTTTTAAAGGAATTATTTCGTTTGTGTCAAAAATTAACAAAAGAAAAAAAAAGGTTCAAAATTTAAAACCTGTTAAACTTTTGAAATTCTTAACATGAATAATTTTTAAGCTTCTGTATAACATAGCATGCAAAATTTTTGTACGCGTTGATAAAAATAACAACAAGAAAAACCTATTTAAATCCTTTAGAGAGTTTTTCATAATATCAAAGACAGGTGTTCAGAGTATCTTACATACAATCCCTAGTTTTGTGTTGTTTAGATAATGAATTATAATAGAATTTTTA